ACGTGGGTAGAGGCGTATTCCCGTACACGGGCGAGCTATGTACTCGCCCTGCACACCGATTTATGTACATACATAATGGCGATCGCCGGGCCAAGTCGCCGGCATTTTATGGGACGAGCTGGCCACGAGCCCAGCGAGCGAGCTCGAGTACGTTCGTCGAGCTATATCTTGATTTGATAGTTCTGTAGAATAAAAAATAACTATTTATAGTAATAACAATGCTCAAATGGACATTAAAAGGGAGCTTCTAAACAATGTAGTAAATCTCTGGTAATTAATAGATTCTCTTACCAATCTTCCATATTACGAAGAATTCATAATAATTGAAATAAATAAAAAAATCTTAAATGTTACTTCTTATTTAAGATCCCATCTTGTGTTCTTAAGTTTCCATCGTAAAGGTTGCTCTATTTCGTTCCAAATTCGATCGCCCCCAATCACTTCTTTTTGGTCCACGCTAAAATATAGCAGGCGCAAGATATTAATTTACAGGAAATTATCGAGTTCGCTTATCGCGAGGAAGAATACTCGAATACATGGGAAAGAGAGGATGGAGTGAGGGGCCAATGGGAGGGCTAGGAGACTCAGGCTCAAGATATTTAATCTGGTGCGGAGTGGGTAAGGCTCATCTAGACAAGGAGAGAGGGCCTTGTCGGACGAAGATCGAGCGGAAAGATAGCCGATACCTCTGGGAAATATCGGTATCGATAGGTGATCAGAGCTAAATGGTTTATGCGAGCGATCAACCTCCGACCCCTTGTAATAACCGGCAAGGAATCTGCCGCCTGATCTATTGGATCGAACTTGATCGAGTTACACCTCGGCCCAGGAGGGGCCAGTCGTATTCCCGCTCGGCCATTTTTTTCTCCGTGAATTCAAAACGAGACAGATTAGACCCCTCTATTTAATTTCGAATCACGTCAACAACCAGGAGAGAGCCTCCTCTTAGAAAGTTTAACAAATCTGTACTTTGAAAATGTCAGAAATGTTCAGAGAATCCGAGAGGTCCGGAGGATTCGCGCTCACTGCCGAAACTCTGAATAAAGCGTGATAGTTCTTCTCGACGATGTATATTGAGTTGCAGAGAGGAGCGATCCGACACCATTTAAAGCTAGCAGTAAATAAGATGTCTACGATAGGAAAGGATAGAGGCAGGCTCGTCTCTATGCCTCTGTCCTTCCCTCTCTTTCTCTCACTCTCTCCGTCTCTCGCTTATTACCGGATCAGTTAGGCATAGGCATAGGCAGAGAGCTAGCAATACATATTATCCGTTCGACAATGAAGGCGTCCACCTAATGAAGGAGAGCGGCGATCGGGGATCTCGTAAATCCTCGGATTATTAATACCTAGCATCTCCGTGTGTGAAATCCGGCAGGTGGCCGGTCGGACCTCTAATCGCGATCCCGGAATAATTTACACCCATATTCCTCGGGAATCATCGCGGGAGTGTTAATGAGCGTCGTGCAGCACCGTTTTCGCGTGATTTCCGAGCGCGCTGATCGCTGATCGCGAACCAGGTGACGCCTGCCTGAGCAATTTTGAATTTCAACGTCTTAATATCCCTATTTCTTTTATGCAAACGTCGAGCACGTAGTCAGTTTTAGTAGCAAAAATTAACTGAGCAAAACTTAATTATTATTCATATCTTATTATTAAAACAATTCATTATGTTTCATACTTTTCCAGGAGTCTTTATAAAATATTTTTCAATTATAATGGCATTATATAATTTACAAACATTACTATAAATCTTTTTTTCGCATTTATTTTAAAATTTAGATTTTTTAATAAAAATTTAGATTCTTATTTATATATTTATTTGTATATATATATTCATATAAACAGATATATAAATATATATATGTAAATAAATTTAAATTATATGTATATATACATAAGAAAGCAAATACACGAGAAATTTCTTGCATAGGCCAGCAAGCGAAGTGCAACGGGTTTGAATGGCTTTGCTACAATTACCAACGCGATTTGTCACGGCCAGAGAAATCCGTATAATGATGCGAATGAATCACTATGCGCTTTACAAAGTCTTGCGGCATGCGCACGTAAGAAATGAAGACAATTGTACCGTTGGATTACGTCAAAGAAACAAGGGCATCCCTAGTTTCCACTCATGTTAAAAATTTCAAATTTAAAAATTACACTGCAAACAAGAAAGTTTAACTAATGCACATAAAATTCTTAACGACTTCATCAGCATATTTATCGCATAGAAATATAAGAAATTTAGATCCTTTGTAAGAAATCTATAAATCCTGCATTTCAGTTTCTGTGATTTATTACTTTCACAGCTAATTGTAAGTAAGATGTTGGATTATGTAGCGTCCTTTTCTGTGGACATTTATAGGCTATTACAATCATCTTCGGCGATCGGAAAGCGCCGGTTTGGGTTCCGCTAGGAGGGATACGTAATGCCGTTCGTGCCCGGCGACAATAGACCGCGGTGCGCGATGAACGAGGAAGAGGAGGCAACCGCCGCCGCGCCGCGAGGATTGGCCGGTAATAGAGTCCTCAGGCGAGGGCGAGGGCAGAAAGCATCGGCCGTTTAAGCGCTACTCCTCGTGGACGGCTAATAATATTAACCGCGCGCCACGTCGCAATCGCGCACAATGGCCCTTTGTGGAGGCGCTCGGGCGCGAGCGCGAGCGCGCACGCGCGCGCGCGCGCATTCGCTCGCGTAAATGCTCGTAACATAAATCGCGAGCGGCGACGTGCTTTATTGTCTTCGCGCGACGCATATTACCATCCACCGCAATGCTCTCCCTTTCCCCCTTTATTTCTTCTGTCATTTTCGCGACGTCCACTGCGGATTTCTATTCGCTAAAATGGCAATGCCATTTTGGAGCGACGACGCGTCGTTTTCCTAATGCTGTCGGGAATTTACTTTATATTTTAAAAAATGAGCTTGATCGCTAAATCAAGGGAATTGATTTTGATTATTTGAAATAATCGCACTTCGCGAAATCTATACTTGATTATAAAAAACGTATATGTTTAATAATATTTAATTAGGTCGGTCAGAACGTTTAAGATCATTTCATTATGTTTTTCTCTACATCCAAATTTAGTGGATAACTTGTCACATTGAGAAGTTTAATGACTTTAACGACTTAATCTATAATAATTAATGGCTAAAAAATATTATCACATCCAAATCATCATTGTTAAAAACAACTAATACTATGACATCATATGATTAATGCGTTTTTTACTACATCATATAAAAAGGAAATAAAATGGAAATTTTTGAGTACTGTATTGATTTAGAAGTATTTTAAAATATGTGTGTGTAAAAAATTAAATGTCCTAAATAAATATTCTGCAAGATGATAGGCGTGTCAAAGCGATGCAATAAATTCATTGATGTTTTATTGTATCAGATTGTAAATTTAAACTGTCTTTCAGCATTCCGATTTTAGCAATCATCTAATTAATTAATAACATTAATTTGCACAATATCTGCATCTTATCATCATTTCAATGTTTCATGGAATGACATAATTTAGAACCTAAGCAAGCGGCATTGAGGTCTTATTGAAAACGCTTGGAAAGCGTTTCACTCGTGAGGACTTGGAAATCGGCGGTCGCGATATTTTTAACAGCGCCGAATATAAATAGCGTTGCAATAAAACAGCGGAAGCGATGTTACACCGTACCTATGATTTATGCGCGGCTCATTGTTCGCCACGCGACGTCGACAGCGGCCGCATTGTCGTACATCGTTATTATTCCGCCAGTCTCCTTCCCCTCGCATCGAAACGTTAAACGAACAAAAGCTCTCGACTTTCAGCGAGAGCGTCCTGGGCTCGTGGCGAGCATAAATCGCGCTCGCGCGAATTTACATAAATATCCGTGTTGCGAACGCGATTTATTCTTCGGCAAACTTGGAATTGACTTTCGTCCAGTGAAAATTGGATATCTATGTCGTGTTTTCTCTCACTTCAATTTCCAACATCAAGTCTGTCGATCAGAGCAAAACTGTGGATAAAGTTCGATCCCATTTGATACTAATTATGTCAATACACTGTTTAATTCATTACGTTAAATCAATTGAATTGAATTGATTAATCATCCTAAATTATTTCATTCAATTAAAGGACACGATGAAATGCCTTGGGAGGAAAGTAATCTTCAACAGAAAAAATTCTCAATTGATTCACTGAAATAATAAACTCATATCGGAATTAATAAGTTCAAATTAATTTAGTTTCATACTTACGCTGTCTCTCGGACGTCTCTTATCCTGTCGCGTTGCTTTCTTCAGACGCGATAAAGGGGAAGGGGGATGGGACGACGTGCGGGGGGATGCAATGACTGTACGCCGGCGTGGTCTGGAGAATAAATTAATATATTTTTAATGGATATATGATAGGTACTGGTTTTTCGCATATCCCGGGTCATCGTATGGCAACTCTTAAATCACCCCTAACTACAAACCGAGCTCGTAGATCAACCTTGCTTACGGGGGGAGGGGGAAACAAATCTTTGTACCGCGCCGTACTCATCACGCTCGTTTAGGATTTTTAAAGTTTATATACAACACCAAACAAATTCCTATCGCAGAGATCCTCAATAGGATTTTTACCTTCGTTTTATCTTTACCTCGTTGCCCTGATCGTTGGTACGTGTTTAACCACTGCGCAACTACAAACGAAAATGCTGGAAAAATTACTCGATTTGCCCAGTCTATCTCCCCTACAGGAATTGTAAAGTCGCATTAGCGAGTGGCTACTTCGGTAATTTCCATCGAACCAATCGCAAATGTGTAAAGAGTTGAAAACCCCCGCCCTATTGCTTTAAATAATATTCGCGATCGACAAACATTGGGGTATCGACTACTCAAAAATTAAATAAAACGGACCTCCTTCCCACTATTTACATTAAATACATGCGTATATGCACTCGTACTCTCGCTCTTCATTTCTCTTTTATTCACGCACACATGCACTTTCTCTCTCTTTCTCTCTCTCCTTTTTTCTCTCTCTCTCTCTCTCTCTCATTCTCTCTTTCTCTCTCTCTCATTCTTCCTTTTTCGCTTTTGCTGCCTTACCTCAAAGACGGACAAGCCGCCTGCCGGCGAGCAATGTCCGCGTTTATTGCACATTTTTTCCATTCTCTTCTTTGAAAGGAGACACAATGGACGAAATCAAACGCACTCGATCTACGACGGTCACGCATGCATTCGATATGTCGAACTGATATAAGTCTTGCCGGTCCGTGCCGATGGCGCGAAGTTTAGATTCTCGAATTCCTCTAGATCCAAAGAGCCCCAAAATTGCATAATTAATCGACTAACTTGCGAATTTTTCAATCCCTCCAATACTTGATCTATCTACATTTTCTCTTTTCCCTCCTTCAATTATCTACGGCTTTGAATTCATATGCAGACTCTCAGAGATATTAAGAATCTAAACGCTCGTTCACCGACGGACGTGAGAATGTCTACAAGTACGCGAGGATATCCATGAATCTAGCGATTTCAGTCCAAGCGACAGGGAACCCTGGCAGAAACGGGGATGTTACCGTAGCTAATCCTTCCGCGCGATTTCACGATCAGGAGTACCAGTTCCGCTTTTCACGCCTTCAGTCTTCGCTCATCCGATGGTCACTTCACCGTCACTGGTAATCTCGACGAGGAGTTTACCCCCTCACCTCTCTAATCGCGCTCTTCGCCACCCTCGACCACCACGTCAACTTTTAATCCGGCGCACCTCGGCGTCTCTCTCCCCGCCTGGTTCACTACGTCGTAGAGGGCGATGTGCAGGCCGACGATACGGGAGACGTCGGCGACGTCGGCGTCGCTGGCCTACGATCCGACGCCGCGCCAGTCCGATTGTTCCCCAACAGGCTGTCGATGGAGAACGGGTTCAGCCTCTTCCTCTCCTCCCTGCCCTTCACCGAGAGATCAATGCTGCCGCTCTGGACCTCCTCCTCGCTGGCGGCCTGCCTGATCAGATTCCTGGCGCCGTTACCGGCCGGTTGACGACCCGCCCCGACTCCCACCAGCTCGCGCCGTCGCTCCAGTAGGCTCAAGCCCCAGTGATGGATACCGGGTTGGTGGTTCAGGTGCTCCATCGGCAGACTCTGCGGGTTCTTCCGGGGCTCGCTGGTCTCACTCGCGTTACTGTTGAGCGCCGGGAAACATTCACCGTCCACGGAACCGTCGGCCACCGAGTCCACCCGCTCGCTGCCGCTCTCGCTGCAGGAGTCCAGTCCGCCGACCACGTCGATCTCCTCGTTGGCATCGTTACCGGATATGTTGTTGCTTTCGTTGCTCAGGCCCAGCGAGCCGAACGAGTTGCTCAGAGGACCGCTCGTGGAACTGCGACCCGCCTCGCTACGAGACTCCCACTCGGCACGCAATGTCGATAAATCTACTGTTATGCCCTGAAATTAAAAAAAATAAAAGAACCCGTATTACATAACTACTGTTTTAGTTATATAAAATCTGTGTAGATGTAATCGGCTACTGCATTCAGACGTAAAACTACTGTTTCAAAATGTGGTTTGGTCAGTTAGTGCTAAATGCGAACACATAGAATCGATAAATTTTCACAAACATTGCAAAAATGTCTATAGAATTATATGTTATGCGTAATCACTTTTTTCTGCGATATCAAAATTTTGATAAAATTATAAGATTAAAGAACATATTTTATCTTTTGTTGCTTCTATGCAACCATCAATAATTTTGACAAGTAAAGTAAAAAATTGCTTTCTTTTAAAAGAAATTGATAACTTTATGAAAACGCGTAAGTACTTAGAAATTTTTAAATTGCGGAAGAATATTTTTGTGAGCTTGCGGCTTACTTTAGCAGCGAGCTTCCGCTGCTGTCTCTCGAGAGCTTTCAGCAACTTCTTCTGTCGCCTCTCGCGCTCTTTCCGTCTCAGCTCCTCGGGTGGGATAGGTTCGCCGCTGCAGCTTTGAGGGTGAGCATTATGCGCCGGCCTTCCGGGACCTTTCTTCGTGTGTTCCTTCTTCCGCCACTTTGCCCTTCGATTTTGAAACCACACCTGCAATAGCGATGGTGGAAAAAATCGAGAGTTAAAAAAAATACAATATCCATGCAATTAGTGCTTTCTAATGTATTGATAACTGAATTTCTGTTTATTAAAAATTAAATGGCTTCTTTACCAAGAAGGATGGAATCAGAACGCGTTTTTTCTATAGTCCATTTCGTCAACGTCGGTCAATTTTGACCACGATTCCATTCACCCTCTATCTGCCTCTGCAGAAAGAAGATTAAATCGACCACAAGTTCGCGCCAATTGACGTCGATGAAAGCGTTGTTCCCCGTAGGTCTTGAATTGTAACACGGGCGTACGCGGCCGTCGCGTAAATTCCCCCGGATCTTCCCTCCTCATCGTCCTCCATCCCCTACCGCGCGAAATTTCCCTGCGAGCTGCTTAAATCACGGCGCCGCCTTTGCCGCTATCAGAAGCGACACGAAGGGCGGATGCATTAAGTTCCGAAAATTACAGGAAGGCTCCTGTCTCAGGACGAAGGACCAACGACCCTCCCGGGTGTCCTGATTCATTGAGGACGACAACCCTTTGCTCGCGTGAACGCTCGTGGCATGAACGACGATTTAGGGCTAGCGTGAGCCACGACGCGACCGAAGGGTAGCGAGGGCATTCTCTCTAGAGGGGGAAAGGGGGAGGGGCGAGGGAGGGTCGGTGAGGGGGGTGGCCATGAGGGGGAGAGATGAAGACATTAGTTGTACGGCCCGGCCGGCGAGCGGCGCTGAGCTCACGCGAGCCGAAGATCAATAGATCCCCTTGGTGCTCCCTGAAACACCTTCCTCGCGTCACGTAGCTTTACGAAACTTTCTTCGACTCCGGGACACTTTACGAACGAGCCCCCCTCCCTCCGAACGAGCCCAAAGCGCTCGTTCGTCTCACCTCTCCGCCGCTATCCGTCCGCGAATCCCCGTTACTCGCGATTAAACTTCAGGCGATCGTAATTAATTCGATTACTTCGACGGCTCTATTTAGAATCCGTCGCACGCGCTTACGCTATTTAATTCTCTCTAGCTTTTCGACTCTCAGCGCGAGCTCCGCTGTGCTCAAATTTCATAATGTAACTGCTGTAGCTATCAAAGTAATTTTCAGCCCGATAGTATCTGTTGCATTTTATGTCGATTTCAACCTGTCAATCCTAACTTTTTATTTACTTTAATTATTTAATACCATAATCTACACAGAAAAACAGCTATGAATTATCGAGCAATGAAAAATCTTTTTACCAAATTACTGTACTTAACTTTACAAAGATTTTATTTTAAAAACGCAAACATCAAGGAAAAAACGTCTCGATAATGGCTTGATTGTTGAAAATTCCAAAATCGCAGATGTAATGGAAATGGCGTCCAATCAATTTATTCTCGCCGAATGGAAAAGATCACTTTCGTCGAGGAATATCGCTACCGCGTAGCTCATCCGAAACCTTACCCGCAAGCCTCACGAGGCCGGCCTGTTCGGCGAACCGAGCACAGCTGTAACGCATCACATTAACGCGATACGTGGGAAACACGACTCGGGCATTAGCGCGGCTATTCGTCAGGAATTATCGACGACCGATAGCGGTTTAACAAGCTGTTTCTATATCCCGATGAGAGCCGATCTCGTGTTCCGACCGACTAAATAACACGGTTTTTCTTCCCTCGCGCATGCGAACGCCGCACATAGCCGCCGAGGATGTGCGGCTTACTTACATTGTGAGCGCGCGACCGGCTTGACATGCATAAAGCGTATCTTTATGGCAGCAAAAACTCGAAGAAGCGACGTCGTCGCCGATAACCATAATCGCCATACGGTGCCCGTCGTCGGGGAGAGATAATGCTTTCTAATGTAATTACGTTTCCGCCAATTAATAAACGATGTTTTCCGTGCCGCGCCGATAAGCGCGCTCTTGCTTGACCGATTAAATTGTTTCATACCGTAATTAACCCTTCGCCTTACGGTCTTCCTGTTTTTATCGCAATAGGAAGCACTTAAAGCCGCGGTCGGCACTTTACACAGGGGTGCGTTAGAAAAATGCAGAGAGCAAGTGCTGAGCGGAAGAAACCTAAATGATCGTATCGTCTCCAATAGTCTCTGTTCAAATTGTATTGTCTCACTCGGAAAATGACGTCGATTTTGCAGATCGCAAGTCCAGCTTTGCCGCAAGTCGAGTGTAAACAATGGATTGCAATAAAATTGTGGAATAATTGCGTCACGGTTAGTAGATACGATTGGATTCGACGTTTCACCGGGCGCGGGTCGACGCTGCGCGAGAGCCTGCCATGGACCATCGGATGCAAATAGCGCCTTGATAATAGCGATGTCGCGCTCGCGAGCGCTCTTTCGCGATAAATCAAAACCGCGCGGTTCCCGATGTTATTTACGACCGGTCACGACTCGCTCGCGCGAATTTTGCGCGCGCGCCACAAAACGCGAAACACCGAGACTGCGACGCGATAACACGCGAGATCGTTCGTAATGTGTACCTGCGTCGGGAAATATTGATCCCGACGCGCTCTCGAGTCTCTCCTCGCCTCGATCTCTCGGGCCTCTCCTTCGATCCCGGACGAGGGATCGGATTTTGCTGGTGAGATCGGAGATGGCGGGGGACGATAACCCGGCCGAGCGGTGACACAATGTGACACGATGTCACACAGCCGGTGCGTCCTTTCGATGGGTCCTCCCCACGACAGGGAATAGCTCTCAGATTAGATAACATCGATCACCACGTACGATAACCCCCATGAACGTATGTGTGCTCCTGCGGGCACATCTTCTCCGGAATATCGCAACAACCAGATAAACGCGGCCGTCGATCGATCAACGGTTATCGAATCTAAGGATGCTCTCGCGAATATCATCGAGAAGCCCGTGTCGTTTCTGTTTTCCGTTCCTGGCAAATATTGTTTGTCACTTCTCGCTGTGACGCACATTGGAACATTAATCTCAACCCCTTGAACCGCGCACGCTCCAAATTTGACCCGACTCCACGACACATTCGCGCGGATTTATTCAGTCTCTATGGCGACTATCAAAGATCGACAAGGCGATAGACACGAATTTAAAGTGACTTCGGGATCGAATTTTCGAGGGTCGACAGACAACCGGGGGTTGGTTCCGGCCTCGGACCTTTGGCCCCCTGGCTCCGTCTCGAGGGGGTAGTTAGTCCATCTGGTCCGCTATGCCTTCGGAGATCTATTCGAGGGTGCAAAATCGACGCGGATTTATCCGCTCGGTGATCGTCCATTCAAATAACACCGGCGCCGATAGGACGCCGTTGTCTCTCAATGATGTTTTCGCAAGAGTAATTACTTTATAAATATTCAAGATTTGATTTTTCAAGGTACTTAAGCTTTAGAATTATATGATTTGCCTCCAAATTCGGAATAGAATTTTACTTCTATTTTTATATTCCGCGCAACACAGAAAACAATAAAATTACGAACAAAATTCTAATCTAAAATCTGACGCGACTTATAAATTTTCTAAAATGAGCTTTATAATATCTAACATAAAGAGCCTATTTTAACTAAATATGCACTAACAGATTAACAAATTCGCCCAATTAATATTGCACACAAACCAAATCTTGACCTAACATAGGAAGTCGAGCGTAGAAATGAGATTTCTTAAAATAGACTCTCATAATAATCCCTCTAAGGGATCTCAGGATCTGTCGCGACGACGTGAGCGCGTGTCATTAGGCTCCGCGAAACTGGCATTAAGTCGGTTCGACGTGGCCAGCCTTCTTCCGGTATTCGCACAGTTCACGCCCGCGTTCGTCGAATACAGTCCAGCCGAATCCTTCGACAGGACTGCGAAGGGTGAACACTCAATTTCACGGCCGGTCGGACATACAGTTACCCTTAGGTCCTTCAAGCGGATATTTATATTTATCCGCTTAGACACGCGTGTTAGGCCCCGCAAATAGCGCATACATCCGTTCCCTTCTCCTACGTCGATGCACCTTGTCATTCTACATATATATATATCTCTCTCTCCATTCTTATCTTGTTTTCGCATCATATTCGCATTTATACATTCCGCAAACAATTTGACATTATTTTGCAATTCTATTTATCTCGTCCGTTTCTTTTGTTGCGCATATTGAACAAGAATCACGCGACGTTTGTACGGGGTGTGCTTAACAATCGCATGTTTCTTCAATGCTACAAAATTTTTCAGTTAAAATTAGAGCTTTGCTCAGAAAGTAGATATAGACATTAGAAGACGCCGAAACAGCACATTATAGTCTCCAATGTATTAAATACTTTTGTAACTAAACTGAAAATTTTGTTAAAACTTAATCCACCTTCAATCACTTCTTATTCCGTTTCGGAGTAAATCGGCTGAATTGAATAAAATTAATCGCGTCGACTTAGAACGTTACAACATAGCGATCGATTGAAATGTCCAAAGTTTTCTAATTAATTCCGTACTTTCCATTTGATTATGAATCGAAGGCTACTAACGTTGACCTTCCGATTTTAATATCCATTATAAATGATTCAAAGAATGAGGCGCCGGCGACGTTCTACGCGTATGATGAAATAAGTAAGACTGGAAGAGGTAACTTACTGCCACGCGGCTCTCTTTTAGCTCGAGTCTCACAGCCAGTGCTTCTCGCATAAAGACGTCGGGATAATGACTCGACAGGAAGGCCCGTTCCAATTCCTCCAACTGCCAACTGTTGAAGTTAGTCCTGCTTCTTCGCCTCTTGTTGCCGCCTTCGTCCGATTCCCCGTCGCAACCTGAAAAGAAAAATATGTATTCAGAAAGGAATAAACCGGCTCGAGAAACGTTAAGTTTCTACATAAATACCAGAGATGCCTAAAATCCCGGGATTCGAATCGAAGTCTATTTTGAGGCTTCAAAGATCAGCGACAAGAAGATCTAACAAGCACCTCGATAATTTTGAATATTGAAGACAACGATGCTTTGAATTCGAAGCTTCAAGATTGAAGAAACTGCTCATAAATTCTGAAAAACAGAAACTTTAACATTCAGGAGTTTTCAGCTTCATAAATCAGCATCAAGATTTTTGGACGTCAAGCATTTAAAATCCGCTCTCAAAGACTCGAGAAGTTTGATGCCGCGAGAGTCCCCGAAGAACGCGAACGTAATGACCCAAGAAAGAGCTTGAAGGAGCAGAGGTCCCCGGGACTCGATGCCTCGGAGATCAGGGGGGAGGGGGGGATCTAAGGGATCCGATGCGCGCCTAGGAAACAGAAGAGCGGAGAGTAAACGATAACGGCGACACAGGCCGTACACCCGCAATTACTTAATCGGCGCGAGCTATTGTTGCTGCGCGGCGGAATCGCGTAAGTGCATGTCTCGCAGCGAAAACAAATGCAGTAGTTACGCTAACCGCCGAGCAATAATGCGGCCCGTAGTTGTAACGGCCGACGCGCGCGTTCCGATAATGAAGTTAACCATGTAGTAAAGTGTGCACTCCTCTTCAATCTTCTCCTCCGATCGAGCAGCTGCACCGGGGCGCAGCGCGGCGCGGCGCGCTCGCTTTCCGTGCTCGCCACTTTGCCGATGTAAATCGATGAATTCGCGCGCACGCACACTCCGCAAAGCCCGGGGTACGGGGCACGGGTCCTTTTGTTCGTGGTGGTGTCAAGCCGAGCGTGACGCGAGTAACGGAGAGAGATTATAGCGGCAATCATCATTGTTAGACATAATCTAACAACGTAATAATTCTTAACGCGAGTTCGTACCTACGTAATTCCAGAGTCTCGCTCGCGGAGAGCACATATATCGCCGGGGTAGATTTTACCGATAAAAAGAAGGAACTTTCAAGGAGGGTCGCTTTTGCGCGGATTAATACTCTACTCGAAAGTCTAATCTCTCAATCGGCGTCGATTCGCGAAAAATCTGCGGATCTCACTCGATAGTCGCGGAATTGTCGGCTCGATGTGTGTGTACTCTTAATCTCGATTTATATTTCAATGTCTATCCCCACGAAATTCCTCACGAAAACAAAAAGGCTCTGTTATCGCTTGTTATTGTTAATTATCGTAGGAAAGTTATGATCATAACGAGTATAATAATTTACCTTCTTTCAAAGGTTTAAGTTTGGCGAAACGATCGGCAGATCGTTGCGTCCGGGGCAGCGGAACGTTATAATTTGCGGCAGCCTATCTCGCGCGTGATCGATATCGATATCGAATTAAGTACTGTATACTTTCGACGGGAATTATTATGTTCGTGCGACACGAAAATGGAGGACGACGTCGATGGCGGACGATCGCGAATTTATCTTAATTTCGCGCCATTTGTAACCGCGGCGCAAGGTAAACATCTCGCCGGGCGTCGAGTGAATCGAGCCTTTACAAAGTGGCCTTAAACACGTCATCTAATACCAAGGGAAAAAAAAGAGACAAATTACACAGACATAAATATGCGCGAAATTGAAACGAGAATCAACCTCTACCAGTTAAAGCTGTAAAATGATGCAAGAAACAAAGTTGTAAATGAGAAAAAAAAACGGCATGTAACGACGGTAGTAAAATGTTAACTGAAAGCAGGTTCTTTTTAATTTATCATCTATAGCGAGAGAGGAGGAACGATTCGGCGATGCCACCGATATTGCGCAAAATCCCCTTGGTATTGATTAAAATGGCGTCGGTTCCGGGCCGAGAGAGAGAGCGACGTCCGAGGAGCAATAACCGCGCGTGATTCGCGGCGGAGCGAGGCCCGTACCGAAAATCGTTTTCCCATCTTATCCGGGCACGCGCGAGATAAGGCGCACGCCGGGGCCGCGGCATCCCGGCGCGGCGTCCCGACGTATTGAATAAACATGGAATTCCAGTGATTTTACGAGGACAATCCGCGCTACGGCAATCCCCCCCGACGGCGATATCGCCGGCGAGGATCAGCGGTTCCATGCCGCGTGTATGCATGCTAATGGCCGGAATTGAATAAAAGATCGGGAATTATGATTGACCGGGCGATGCCAGAACTCTCCCCCTGCCACCCTCCCCCCCCCCGGCCGGTTATCTCGATCTGGCGCGGAGTAAAACGGCGATGGAAATAAACGCTGGCTCGTGGTCCCGGAGATCTCGCTTCGTGGGGGGGATCTTCAGCTCCGTGATTGCGGAATTTCGATATTGACTATATGTTTCGCGCAAGCGATGTGATGAGAAGATACTTCATACGCAATTTTACTTCACATCTAAACGTCTTATGTGGTCCAAAAGCAGATATAAAATTGAACGGAACGTTTACAGTTACAAGCGAAAAACATAGATTTTAACATAATAAGACTCAACACAAACCCGAAATTAATTATTTTGGATATCATATCAAAATTATTTAGGATCAAGCATAATGCTGCAAAAAATTTCGACATTCTAGCAACCAGCTTGAGCATCCAACATAATTTTTTCATGCAGATCTATATTAGGTTACATTTTTAGAGTAAAATCTTTCTATGTAAAAATTAAATCGTTAAATGTAATTTATTATAAATCCCAGCGCGATTAAAAACGCGAATATTACTGAAGTGGTTAACTAAAGTATATAGGAGGCTAAAAGTGTCAACATATATAAAATGCAGGATCAAGAGATAAAAGTCATTGACGTCGCGTTTTATTTCGATCAGCGTTCGAGAAGAACCGGCCAATTAAGATTTACCAGGCGCTGTTTGCGGAGTCGGCTCGAGATTGTCGTTGAGGTGGGCCGAGGCCGGTGAAAAATCGCGGGGTTGGGCATTAATCAGCGTAATTAGATGCTATTTATTCGCGGGCCGTCTCGTCCGCTCCGCATCTCGCTCATCATTGATAATCTATAATCCGTAATAAGCGCCCTGGCGCAATGGCAGGTTGAGGGATCGTCGCGAACGATAATACCTTTATCGTGTCAATGCCGGCCAATCACCGCCGCTCACTTGCGCCAAATTTCATAATGGAATGAAGCGGCGATAATTAATAACCCCGATATCAAACGCGGCGAGAGAGCAATGGCGAACGATTTGAGGCATACGCGCGAATTCGACATTACGAGAAGCAAATTACACAGGGCAACGTATGTCGATGCGTTTTTTTTTGTGAGTATCTTCATTTAATTCTGTTTACAAAACAGGATGACGGCGGATTTATAATTTCGGACGTTTCTCTCGGTCCCGTCAAGTTGTATAATTATGTAAAGGAGAAAAGAGAGAAGATATAATTATGTAAAAATTCTCTCCCGATCTCTCGGAGAGAGAGAAGTTCCGTCGCCGAAGCGCGTCGCGCTCATATCACAAAAATTAGTCGACTCATTATCGTCGTGTCAGGTTCATTATGCGCCGAGTGCGTTACGCCGGGAGACAGCCGCTTCCCTCGTTAAGAAGGAAATGCACAATTCCCCTGCGAGGCGAACGCAACGAAAATAGATTAAGACGACGCGATCCGCGATCAAACCGGACGTGAAAATTGTTTAACTCGTTCCCTCATAAATTATTTAGCGCGGCCGCCCGCTATCATCTATCAACTTTGATAACCGCGCCCGATAATAACTCCCGTGCCTGGCTACGGTCGAGGCCGCAGACGGCCTCGAGTGCAACCGCGTAAATACATTTCAACCGAATCGTGCGAACGTCAAGAGCGAAAGAAAACGTGCGAATTATATCCACGTGATTTCGCCGAGGTCGATTTGTAGCGCTCGCGCGATAAAAAACGGAGCTAAGCAAATTAATTCCGACGGAGTGTCTAACTTACGGTACTTATTATATTAGCTAACATTCCAGTAGTCACCAGTAACGGCAGATCAGGCAGAATCGCGCGTGGTATTGAATTCTAAAGGTTATTTTAAAAATTACCACATACACATGTAGATTCTTCTTGAAGATTATACAAAAATATTTTCTAAAAAATTATATTTATATCATTTATTAGCTTAGGCAGTTCTAAATAAATTTAAAAATAATTATTTTCAATAAAAAAAGTTGATAAGAGGTTATCAGTTATTTTAATATATTACATTCAATGTCTAAAATTTTAATATTACAGTTATAAAAAAGCTTAAATCTTAAGATTATATACTTATAAGACAGACCAAAAATTTTGTTCAGACTCCTCTTTACTTTTAATACAAATTCTTCTTTGTTTTTTTAAGATGGCAAAATGGGATATATTTTATCGAATCGCTATACATAATATAACGATAAAAAGATTCCACGCTGCCACCGTGTTTTTCTGTTCTCGCAGTAATGTCAATCGTGTTTGGAATTTGGGTCAGATATCGAAACCTCGAGTGTTCTCTTTCTCTGTTCTTTTAGGATTGATTCTTTCAATCTGGTTTTTATTACACCGTACTCGTTTTTTAATAATATTTTATGCAGTTTCTGATTTTATGTAAAAAACAGATAATAAAAAACTACTAATAAGAAACTTACGTAAAGTTCAATAATTGTATTCAACAAAAACAATATTTCATAGCAATTGAATTCATTTGTTTAAATTCAGTAAGTTTATCATTAACATTAATCAAACTCAATTCAATCGTTATATAATTTAAGAACTCCGTTATGTAGTTAAAGGATTCCGCCCCACAGTGCAAATTTAACTTTTTCAAGCTTTATAAATGTTAATTTCTTCAACAAACGGCTTAAATCACAGTTCAGTACAATTGTTAATTCTGCGAAAAGCATTGAAATATTGTATCAACACGAGATTTTAAATTATGATAATAAAAATCACATACATTTTACAAGATTATTCGGTTATTAAAAGAGTGATTCCACAATAAGAGTATATTTATAGTC